TGTTGTTAATGTAACATAGTTTATTTAACAACTGAATCGCATCACAAATGGCAAGCCACCAGGTTCTTTCAATCGTGAATCATCACGAGCACAAGCCGAATAATAACGACAAAACTAATCTTTCGAGATCCTGCAGTGTTGTGACCTGTCATTTTGTCCAACGCTACAATCTGCATTACCATAGTAGTACATACTCTCCTGACTACATGTCGCACAGCGTGCAAACATCTTCCCTCGTGCATGGAATAAAAAAACACGTTTATTTCCATTCCCCCCCCCTTCATGCTGTGCTAACACGATAAGGTATAATTAATCAAATAAACACATCGACAAAGTACAAGTGACCTCTATGGGACCCGTTAGTGCGGTGGGGGCTGAACTGGTCCATGGCTTTGATCCCTGAGTTGGGGACTTATCCCGCGGAAATGTCTGTCTTTGTTAGCATTATTCCGAGAATTCTGTGACCTCGTATCCTGTCCAAACCTAAGTCCTGCTGATCCATACCGCGAGTACGATAACTGATGATACCGCAGGGTGATGAGTTTGACATCCGGTCATGAGATCAATCAGGAGTCGTGAACAGTGAGGGACTCCGGATGGAACACACTCCAATCAAGTGACCGATGAGGGGAGTGACAGTGAACGACGCAAAACGAGAACGTGTGAATAAAGAATGCAGTGAGTGACTACTAGTTCCTCCTCAAGTACTACTGCCAACAACATCAAGAACACCAGCATTACCACTCTCCACAACCACCGCCCCCCTGAATTAGTATGCTTGCTACGGAGATTCCAAAATGAATAAATCGTGTGATTTTTACGAAATCAATAAAATATGTAAGTGAGGTAACCATAATCCTACCAACACGTTCTACTTGACAGAGGATTCCAATGTCCGTTGTCCGTTGTCAACCCCATCGCTTGTGGTAAAATCCCTAAGTCAGATGATAAAGGTACAAACCAGCAAACAACAGAAGAACCTGCAACTAATGATTATATCTAAGTCAATCCCGAATTCAAACCAGATCAGAAATATCTTTAAAAATTGCTACAATCGACTGAACTTGTTGGAAGTCTTAAACAAACTCAAACAGGTCAACATGCAATCGGTGTCTATATTCAGATGCATTGAGTACAGGAACATGCCAGATATATAAAACGTCAGCCTGTTAAACATAGCTCATTTACAAACAAATACAAAGTAAATGTCTTGGTAGATTCGAGATAAAAAATATAAAAGACTACATTTTCAACCAAAACTTTGTACAAACTATTGATGGGTAACAAAGGAGGCACGTGAAAGTGCATGGTTAATGTTGTACAAACGAAAACTGAACTGATGAGTTACTCTTGTTTCTTTTCACTTTTCGAGCATGAAGCTTAACCGACTCCAGTTTAACTCAAGAATGAATGATGTGATGGAACCCCTTCCGTACCTAAAGAGAGCATCGGTAAGTGATTAATATTGGGTAGGATTTATGATGGTGCTGCTGCTTACGGTCGAGCATCGAATACGTAGCTCTCTTGGTGTGACAGTATCACCTTTGGTCAGTTTTTCTAAACGGATTTACCGCTCACATATCCTTGGTGATGTTTTCTCGTTCACGCATGGGTGCTTGTCAAGTGGGAGGAAATGAATCTTTTCCGACAATCTATCATCAACCACAGAGACCACACATGCACACACACCCGAACTTATCCTCACACATTCACCTCAAACACACGAGGGAGGGAGGGCATCGACAAAGGTGGTCAGCAGGAGGAGCAACAACGAAATCAGATGAGAAAAAGGCCTCAACCAATATACTATACGGGTGTCTCAAGCATTATCCAGCTTCCGGTTATTGTTTTTTTCCCTCGCATAGTCACAGTTTGGGGTTCTTGTCCTTTTGGAGCGGGAGGAAGGCGAGCTGAGTGGATAAGACCATCCTCTCGAACAATGTGCCGCGGTATAGAAGCGGACTCAATCATTCAGGAAATCGAAGCTCTTCACACGGATGGATATCCATGGCATGGTAATGGAAGCGCTTTGGGTGTGTGCGTGTGGGTGGGTAGGTGCGGAACAGGCGGGCTGATATTCAAAACATTGGTACGGCGGAAAGGAAAAAACAATGAAATGAGTGTTCCAACACGATACAGAGAAGCCTGTTTATACCGCTGGCTTTCCTTAAGTGAACCTTATCGTTTTGAGGATGACAGTTCTGGGGTCATTCATCCGCGCTGCGACGGATGTATCCCAGTGCTCAACAACTGAATGGTGTTCAGTTTGAGATATACAAATCCTCTCTGTTCGTCTGAACCATTTATGAAACTGTAAAACGATTGGTGCGATAGCTGTTAAATGGCAGAATGACTTGCCGTAAAATCTATCAACTTCAGATTGAGTCAAGCATGGAAGAAACTTTCAATTGTTCTCGTTTTATGCTCTGCTAAAGTGAAACAGGTTTTTTTAATGGCATATGTCAAACCACTTAAAAGTTTTACTTTGACCTTTATTGTCTCAAAAACCACGGAATAAAAAACCATTTTGAAAAGGAATTAAGTAATATGAATCAGTGCAAAATCACTCCAACCCCCACATACATCAAGTGAGTATTTGGTTGAACAGTCGAGATTTTCTCACTGAAGTTGCGCGCTTGCATATGGTATAACAGCCTTCGCCACATTGACATTGAAACAGTGATTGCAATCCGTAGATACATTTG